CCCCAGCGGCTGCGCCCCGCCCTCGCGGCAGGTGGGGCAGGACCAGCGGCGCCCCGCGCCCCACAGGCCCTGCAGGCAGGCCCGGCAGAAGCTGTGGCCGCAGGGCAGCGTGACCGGCCAGGCCAGCAGCCCCTGGCAGATGATGCAGCCCAGGTCGTCCTCCGCCAGCCACACGGGCACCGTCAGGCCGTCGTCCAGGCTCGCCATGGTCCCGGGCCACCGGCCGGAAGCAGGGCCGCCCACTGCGACGTCTCCTCCGGCTCCTCCCTCGCCCTTCCTCTCCCCTCCTCTCCCGGCCTCCTCCCCGCCGGGTGGCGGTCCCGCCCGCGCTGCTGTCCAGTCTCCGCTCCAGCGGAAAGCGGACTCTCACCGCGGCTCCTGCGCGGGGAACCCGGCTCGCCCCAAACCATTAGGACCCGCTGATGCCCCAGAGATTCCCTCCTACTTGATGTCCTCGCGTTACAGTGCCACCCCGACAGCTCTGGGGAGAAGAAAAGAGAGAGGATTCTATTCCAGACTCTTAAGAGAATGTGTTCACTAGGTGTCACCCAGCCCCTTAACAAGCAGTGAGGAATTAAAGAAGGCGCAGCGCACCAGGTGAGGACCTAAAACAGTACGTACCGTATAGTAAGTGACATACTTTAAAAATACAAGTGTATCCCTCACGGTTTGGCTCAGTGGATAGATAGAGCGTCGGTCAAGCACATGTACCTGGGTTGCGAGCACAGCCCCAGTAGGGGGTGTGCAGGAGGCAGCTGATCGGTGTTTCTAACTATCCCTCTCTCTTCCTCTCTGTAAAAAATCAATAAAATATATAAATTTTTTAAAAAATACCAGTGTAGCCATGACCGGTTTGGCTCAGTGGATAGAGCGTCGGCCTGCGGACTGAAGGGTCCCGGGTTCGATTCCGGTCGGGGGCATGTACCTTGGTTGCGGGCACATCCCCAGTAGTGGTTGTGCAGGAGGCGGCTGATGGATGTTTCTCTCTCATCCATGTTTCTAACTCTCTGTCCCCTTCTCTTCCTCTCTGTAAAAAATCAATAAAATATATTTTTTTAAAAAAATACCAGTGTAGATCTGGAGAGTATTATGCTAAGCAATATAAGCCAGTCAGAGAAAGGTATGTATCACATGATTTTCACTCATATGTGGGATTCTAATGAACAAAATAAAATGATGGACAAAATAGATCCAAAGACATAGAAGCATGAAACAGACTGTAGAATCTCAGAGGGAAGGCGGGGCTGGGTGGGTGGGTGGGTGGAAGAGATCAACCAAAGGACTTTTATGCATATATGAATA